GATTAGTGTCCCATTGGTATGTGTACTTTGTTGGGGACCTTGATGACCTATGACCACGAAATTCTTCTCTGCAGTGGTTTAGCAGTGTGGCTCACTTGGTTCAGTACAGCCCAAAGGACTCACAAGCAGGATAAGGTGGTAAATCCCTCCACAGGTATAATATGCAGCAGGTTATAAAATCCCCAAACCCTTACTCCCTGGCTTGAGGACACAGTTCAGGAGTAGGGGGTCCCCAAAACAAATTCCCTGACTAACTAAAAGATGGTGCACTCATAAACTCCATGAATGATCCTCAGGTTCAGAGATGACTCTGGACTACTTAGTCACTACAGAGAGCTGATCTCTGCTAGCAAGGATCCTCTTCAGGCAGGAATCAGGCTGCTTTGGTCCCAGGACTTCCCCTCAACACAAAGGGGTGCAGGGCTCAAGGTGAAGATTACACAACTGTACTAAAATCCAAACTGTAGTCTCCTAGCCCAGCATCCAGTCACACACACAGCAGGCAGCAGCCCTGAACTAGCAGACAGAGCAGAGCTGACAATGTGGTGACTGGTCTCACCTAGGGAGCTGGAGGGCTAACTCAGCCTGGCTGGGGAAGTTTCCCAGCAAACTCTACAAACTGGGAATCAGGAGTGGAGACAGGAAAAGCCCAGCTGAAGGATCTTACTTTCGGGGCCCTAGAGGCCAGTTCTTAGGAGGAACCCTGCATGCAGGCCTGGGGCTTACTAGCTCCCCACACAGCCAGCCCTGCCCTTGCCTTGGCTGGCTCCAGACCCACTCCAAATAAATGGCTTCTCCCCTCTCTTGAACTCCCTGGGAGGGGCATCTCACTCCCTATTGGTTGCCGAGCAGACTCTGAATTTGCCTTGGCTCCCCCTCCCTACAAGGGACAGTGTGTGTCTTCCTGAACTGCCAGCAGACAGAGCCCCAGGAATCCAGGTAATCTCCTTGGGGGTTACAATTATTATTCATATTAGGACAAAACCTGCATTCCTCAGTGAGGTCCTGTACCAGAAAAAAAAACCCACTCAATGTTAATTCCCACTGACTTCAATGGGATTTAGGCAAATGCTTAATTTAAATATGTACTTTGGAGCATTCCTGAATAGGGATCCTTTAGGTCCTCAATACAAAGCTCCATGACATCAATGTGGATTATTCCATACGCTTTAATAAGCTTTGGATAATGCCATACATTTTTACTTAGTTTCCCAGGCAAACTCTCAAATGATGGAAGTGTTCTTATGCAAAGGACGAGTAAGGATATTAGGGTTTGTTCCATTGTGTATAGAAAAGCACAGTGAGATGTCATCTCACACGAGACCTCTGGGAGATGATACTGCAAGAAAACCAGCTTAGTGCTGAATACTAAAGTATGAGTCTCTGAGACTATCATTTAGATAGAATCTTTTATCCCAGGATCCCAAAGCACTTTGCAGACATTAAATAACGATGTTCATGTGATTGTTTACCAATGTCATTCCCAAACATCTTTACAAAATTATGTAAAGAGGATGGCCAATTAAATAAGGAAGAGATAATGGGCTAGACTGGCCGCTATGTTCTTCCACGAGAAGAGTAAGCAGATAGTTGCACTGCCCCAGGACCAAAGCAGAAAAGAAACTATGAGAGTCCCACTCTGACCACTGGGTCCCCTTTGGAAGGCGTATTCCATTACCTAGGCACATTTTATTTGTCTCTTTGCTGTCAGCTGTGCTGGCCTGCAAAGTTGAGAGGTGCAGCCAAGTCTGTCCCCTCCCTGCCCACTCCTTGTCCACCTGCAGTGGGAGGAGTAGTAATTCATCATCACCCATGATGCAGGGAGTCTATGTCTACAAAGCAGAACAGTTTCCAAAAAAATGGACGCTTTCTTTCCACTTCCCTATATTCTTCATTGTATGAGGAATAAGGGATGTTCCGAAAGAGCAGGATTTTCCAAAATGTGGCCCCATATAGATGGGCCAAATTTCGGAAAAGCCTCTGAAAAAAAGCAGTTTGCAATTCCCGTATCTTTTTCTGATATAACACTGCAGTCTAGACATAGCTAGAGAGAATATGTTTCCTTATTCCTTTGCATGGCCATATAGATGCTAACTTCTGAATAAGGATGTAAAATCCCCTTTAAAATGTAAATTAGTTAACCGGATCACTGCATCATTGCTACTTCTGAATGAGTCCACTGGGAACGATACATGGCACCACATATCTATCTTTACTGAAAATGCACCTCGTGGACATAAGTTGAGGCAGAGCTGGATAGAGCACTCTACCTTTCTGGGGTCAACTGACCCATTCTGCTCCTCTGACATAGCCACAGAAAGCTATGTAGCTTTTATGGGAGCTAATTCATCATAGTAGATATGTTAATTGTCAACAGCTGGTATCAAAGGCTGAATACACGATGGGGAAGAAGGAATGTTCAAAAAAGCAATTTTTCCTTGGTTTGCAATATTGTTTCTGATCTCTGTATTGGTAATATTCAGAAGTTGGGAGGAGGTGGTTATAAAATGTTCCTGGAATGCTATTAATTTACAAAAATAAGATCATTGAGCAGAACTAGCTCTTTTCTAATGCTCTCTTACATTATACACTCCAGTAGCACCACTAGCCTTCTTCCCATGGTAGATGCACTAATCAATGCTATGGGCCAAATCTTCAACC